GACAACCAATAGCGGATAGAGGAGTGCTAATGATCTTATTTATAATAAGATCAATCTTATTTATAAAGAATCCCATAAAATCCTTCCTGCTAAGAGCAGGTGGAATGGACGGTTCAACAGAGCTATGGCTCTGGGTGGGTTTGGCAACTGGATTTAAAATACATCTAGGATTATTCTCTATTAATGAGGAGAAATATGCTGCTCTTGCTTTACAAAGGATCCTCTTATACAGCAGTAAACAATTTTTCCACACTAGGTAGGATTCCCGTAGGCCTGTGGAGTGATATTTTCTCTCCAGTTTCCTAGCATTTTGCTTTAAAGTACGCAGCTCTGCATTAAACCAAGGAGCAAGCTTTCTATTTTTAACGGTTTTCATTTTCAAAGGAGCTGCATTGTCTAAGGCAGTGTGCAGAGAACTAGCAACCCCATCAACAAAATTATCAACCTGTGAAGGGGAGTAAACTAAGCTTTTGCACTCTGCAGCACTGCTCAGCGACAAAGAGGATAGAGAAAGTCAAACAGAATCTTTAAAATGTATTACTTGACTATCTGATAATGATCTGCTAAGAGAAACCTTATTTTGGGGGAGGAGAACTCTGTTAAAGTAATCTTAAAGGTTATTAAAAAGTGATCAGAGAGGACAGGGTTCTGAGGAAATGCTAATTTCTTCACATTCTATGCCGTATGTGAGCACAAGATCCAAAGTATGAAGATGAGAGTGTGTTGGGCTATTCACATTTTGAACAAAGCCAATAGCGTCTAAGAAAGTATTAAAGGCTGCTCTTAAGCTATCGCCTTCAATGTCAGCATGGATGTTAAAATCTCCCACTATGATGCCCTGTCCTGGTCTGCACCCTGGGTGGTCAGGGTTTTGGAGGACTAATAAATGTGGCCAGATTCCTAGAAAGAAGATCTGCACCATCCAAAGTGGGATGGATGCCGTCTCTCTGAATCAGACTAGGCTTTCCCGAAAAGGATTGCCAATTATTAATGTAGCCCACGTTGTTTTCAGGACACCACCTAGACCAGAGGTCTTCAGAGTTTTCTAGGCCAAGGACCCCCGAACTGATGGCGAGATGGAGCAGGGACCCCCTAATTATATATATCGTATGAAATTATGTTATATTGGGATTATTAGAGTATTTCTGATTCTTGGTTGATGGGACAGGTGTTGTGAATGAAATGGTGCCCAGCTTGAAAGAGCTCCTGGGTGTCGTTGAATGTGTGCATTGATGACTGAAAGACATTTTATGCCTACATTTATCTACTACAGTGTGTTTTAAAGACATTGCAATTAGTGGAAAAAATTTCAGGGGGGAATATAAAAGAAAATCTTAATCCACTAAAGCTTTCGCGACCCCCATGCAGTACCTCTGTGGAGCCCCTAGGGGTCGCGGCCCCCTTGTTGAAGACCTCTGACCTAAACAACCACCGGTTGAATGACGACATGCGGCTAAACATGTCATCACTGGTCAGATCATGGAGGGGACCAGAGAAAATTAGTCTGACATTGCTTTGGCAAAATTACACACAGAAGCAACAGTAATTTTAGTGACCTCCGATCGGCGTAACCGGGTGTCATTACCACCAGCGTGAATCACAATCTTACTGTATTTAACCTTATCCTTAGCCAGCAGTTTCAAGGAGGATTTGATGTCACCCATTCTGGCCCCCGGCAAACATTTGACTATGGTCCCTGGTGTCTCTAATGCCACGATTCTGACTATGGAGCTGCCAATCACCAGAGTGGGCTTTTCAGTGGGTGTGTCACTGAGTTGGGAAAACCGGTTAGAAACGTGAACCGTGTGAAACTGACAAGTGCTCAGTAGAAAAGTGCAGCAGAAGGC